GGGTGGGGGGGAGGGTTGGGACTGACCGCGCGGTTGGAAGAGGGGGGGAGGCAAGGTGGGGTACTTTGATTGACAGATAGTGTCGTGAAGATTATTTTTTTTTTTATTAACTGAAGATATTTGTTTTAGCTCATAAAATTCATACAAATTACCCGGTCAGAATATAATTTACATTGCTGGAATTCTTATAATTTGGTGATCATTTTGAATATAAACATCATATATTTTGCATTAAACATACAAATTTTAGATAAAAAATTTTCTCTAGGTAACTATGTTATCTTTTGTGCAAAATATATGACATTTATATTCAAAATATTCCTGGTCTTACAAGGAATCCAGCAATGTCAATTGTATTATCCTAACTTTAGTTTGAGGTATTATTTATTAAAATTTAGTGGTTTTCCCCCAAAAATTTCTCTGAGAGGGAAGAGCCGGCAGTGTAGTGTGAGAGGGAGTTGAGTCCATTATTTGAATGGACATTAACTTGGCGACTGTATTTCTCTATTTCTCTTAAGTATTAATTGTGTGCATGTACCATCATAAAATTAAGATGTTATTTTTACTACAACATAGTTATGTGTCTTCAAAAAGTGGAGTTTGGGGGTCGGGCCGGTTTCTATTGGAATTAATCCCATATGTTCTGTTGTTCACTTAACGCGGATTTCACTTAACACGGGACCCTCTGGGTTCTATTGACCGCGTTAAGTGGGGTACAACTGTATATATATATATATATATATATATATATATATATATATATATATATATATATATATATATATATATATATATATATATATATATATATATATATTCTGGATTGCATCATACTATACAGCTTTGTAATATTATACTGATATTATAAAATTCTATTTTAAAACAATCTTACCTTTTGGTGTGATGTGATGATAAATGCTTGATGGAGTTGCATTTAGGGTTGGAGGGGATGAAGGTTATGCCTTGAGGTCTCTCACTGTATGATATACTATACAGTGAAGCATTCTTACAAGTTTGAACAAGTGAAATTTCATAAAATAAATACGTACTGTATACAATTTAAACACTCATATGGACACTTATAAAACACTTCACAATACAGTGTCTCCTCGACTTACGACGGGGTTCCGTCCCGACGACCAGGTCGTAAAGTCGAAAAGGCGAAAACAATACATAGAAATTCTAAAATGGGTGTTTCTCTTTCTTCTCAGCACCACGAGAACTCTCACTTTTACATTTGCCAGCCATTTTAAAGGGAACTACAAACGAAAAGTTTGTCAGTACACAGCGCGATCGCTAACGTCGGGACTCAAAAATACGTAATGTGAATAATATTTTATACGACCATGGCCGTCGTATGTCCGGGTTGTAGTAAGTCGAATATGTCGTAAGTTGAGGAGAGACTGTACTTTCATTACTTTTACAGAAAGCTTAATATATTTATCGTATCTACAGAAGGGCATTATGGCACATTTTACACACTGATGGTTACAAATCTGAATATTGTAAGTAAATTAATGTAAAAATTTATTTTTACAAAATTTTACTTAATACGGTATTCAAATTGAGGTTTTGTAAACTTAAATTTTTTACAAACAGTTTACAGGCTAATTTTACTGCACAATGGATGGCTTAAGTGTATGAGGTGGATATCAGGATAAAATTTAAACAACTCCTTCACTCAGCCTTCTTGCTTCACTGTTGGGACAGCACTCGTACTCATGAGCAGCATGCTATGGACTGTTGCCTAGTAACCAATTAGTGATGGATTACCACAAGATAGACCTACCAGAATTACTCGCCAAAATCGGAATTATTAAATTTTTCGTGAACCTTTTTCACTTGAATGACACCTTAGGGCGCCAGTGCCAATTGGACAAGATTATCATTGACACCTACCTGGTACTTGCATCACAGTGCACGAGTGTTAATAATACCGGGTAATTAAATTTTTGTATTCGTGCTGTGCTTTTAGGGCAATTATTATGCATATTGTTAATATATTAAGGTATTTATTAAAGTTAAGTACATTACAAGGTTAGGTTTATGTAAGCTATTTTCTGTATTTGTGGATTTTGCTATGTACAGCCATTGGTGGACCAAACACCCCATGAACAACAAGGGCTGACAGTATACGAAGTGCTTGATTTTAAATTTAGGGATAGTGTGGGATTTTCCTCTTGGCTTTAGGGTAAAAGCGAGAAACTTGATAAAGACATGATCAGGAAGGGAAAACGGTTTTTGGGGGTACCTTACTTAAAATACAGTACAGTGGTCCCTCGGTTAACAAACGCCTCGGTTAACGAATTACCTTCCATAAGAATATTCAATTCGGTTAACGAACAAAAATTCGGTTAACGAAATTCTTACGAAAATGTTTCGACATGCTTTGGCTTGCTCACCAGCTAGAAGATTAGTCTGCCAATACAGAAATCAGTTCTAGGGCTTACATTCATTAAAATTGGAGTAAATATAAAAAAGGTTGTACTATTCAATAATTTTCCATGTTATATATTAATTTTTTTAGTAATTTTAACACTTATTTAACATAATTGCAGTACAGGGAACTAGTTTTTGGTGTGCCCACCAGCCACTTCACTCACCCACCAAGGCCTCAGTTTGTATTTCTGTTCAGTGGAGGAAACATCTTGCTTGTGGGTCCCTTGAACACAGAGTGTTTTTATGTTTTTACAGTACAATTATTGGATTATTCTGAAATTTATTTAACATACTGACAATATATAGTACAGTGCAGTGCTGATTTAAAGAAAATAATCTTGAATTACACCTAGTGAACTTAAAATTTTATGGGTGAAATGACGGCATCAAGCATGGGGTGATTTCTCTTCCACCCCCACTTCCTTCCCTTCTCCTCCACCCCCACTTCTAATTCCCATCAATATCATCATCAACCAGGAGCCTTCTACATACACACCTTAAAGTAAGTGTACAGGTACTTTGCTGCATTTTTTTTTTACTTTGTATGTAATTTTCAGTGAGCTGGAAACAATTACCCCAAATCCCATTGAAACAGTGGTTTCGGTTAACGAACGACCTTCTGAAACGAATTGTGTCCGTTAACCGTGGGACCACTGTACCTAGTAATTGTAGTAAAGTGCTTGGTGCCATTTTTGTCAGTTGAGTATGCCAGAGTATGCCAGGAGAAATATAAAGGATCATATACACAGGAGAGGAATCCTGTATACAGTGATCCCTCGGTTAACGAGTTACCTTCCATAAGATTCTTAACTTCGGTTAACGAGTTTTTTACGAGCCGACCTCAACATGTTTTCGCTTGCATTTGGTGGTCCACCAGCTGTAGTATTAGTCCGCCAATACAGTAATCGGTTCTAGGGCTTAAATTCCTTACTATTTTAGTAAATATCAAGAAGTTTATACTATTCAATAATTTTAAAAGTTTTATATTAAATTTTTTAGTCATTTTAACAATTATTGAACATAATTGAAGTATAGGAAGCTAGTTTTTTGCGCGCCATACAGCCTGTCAACACACCATACAGGCGTCAGTCTCTGTGTCTTTTCAGTGGAGGTAACATCTTGCTTCACACTCTTCAACTTAACGCTTTTTTTCTGTGTTTCCAAGCAAATTATTGGTAATTTTGAAATTTATTTTACATATTGACAATATATAACGCAGTGCAGTGTTAATTTAAAGAAAATATTCTTTATTTACAGCTATTAAACTTAAAATATCACATGCTGAGGTTGTTTGAATTCAGTATGGGTCCAAAGAGATCAAGAAAAACGATTTCAATCCAAGTTAAGCAGGAAATTATAAAAAACATGAAGGCATTAGAACAAATGTGTTATGCAAAGAATATGGCATGTCGACCTCTTGCTCACTGCTGGTTGTGCATACAATTTGTGTTGTGCAGTACTGATTATAGTGTGTAATTTTATTGTAAATTAACAATGTTTGTGTGAACACCATACATTACCGCGCATAGCAGTGGACAGTGTTTGTGTACTGTACAATACTGTACTAGGACACAATCAGTAATATTACAGTTAGCACCACCTGCCACAGCAGATGATACAGGACAAAGCAGGCCATTCTGTATCATACCACCATTTGGCCAAACTGCATTACAAGCTCAAAGCAACAGCATTTACTGACGAGTACTGTATACATTTTATTGTTTATTTATTTGGTTGAATACTTTTTGTTTACAGTATTTACAATACATTGTATGTGTATATTGGTGTTTGCACATTTAAATGCAGCTCCATGCAAGATGCGTCGTTTAGATTTGAAATTTTTTTCCTCCAATGCAGAGTGGAAAATTCTGCCTTCACTGTGATTCACAGCTCCATTCATGGTTCGCTCACCTGTATCATACAGAATTTTTTTTTCCTATTTATTTAACCAAACCTTTAGATAAATTATTCAGGGTTATTTGGGTAAAAATGGTGCTTCTAACTTAATTTGAACTGATTTTATACTCCGGTATCAAATTTTTTTTAAATTTTTTTCATAAAAGAATTGAGTCCCCATCATTATATCATGTCAAAATATTTTGTTTAAGAATCTTTTATTGGAACAGCCTTGTAGAGAATTTATTCAGGATCATTATGGTATCAATTTCATCTCTTTAGCACAATTACAACATATGCTGTAAATGAAAGTTTATATTGTACACCTTTTTGCTAGCAACAAATATTTTTGCTTGTGCCCACAGTCTAAATGTAAAGGGAGGATGCATAGTTTAGAGTAGAGATGAGATACATAGTTTAGACTCTTGGGAACTTTCCCTAGCACCCAGAAACATTCCAGGGATGTAGGCTAGTATCTGTCAGGTAAGATGTATAGTTTACTCGGAAACTTTTCCCAATATCTGTACCTGGTAAAATTCCAGGGATGTTGGATTTTTCCGGGTTTGAGAGAGTCGTCTCGTTACCTGGAAATCTCTCGTCGCTGAAAAGAGTTCTGCACCAATTGTTCTGGCTAATAGGGATATCACTGCAGTTAACAAGCAACATTTGGCTTGAGGTAGCAACCCATTATCTACCTTATTTATTATATACAAAATATACAGTACAGATATTCTCCAGTGATTTCTCATACTAGTATATAATTGTGCTCTGGAAGTTAAATATCAATTATGCAGACCAAAATTTAGTGAATATGATACTACAATACGTAAATTACATACTAGATTTTGAATTAAATTTAATGTACTGTATTTTGAGCCCTTGACTTAGAATGTTTATCAAATATATAAAGCCCAATGTCTTTTCGTTATGAATGGCTACAGTGTTGACAAGAAGAGTTGAAATTTAGCATGGGATGAGTATGCAACCTAGAGGTGTCACAAAGGTGGAATTTAAAGGGGTTGGCCCCAGTGGTCAGCCAAACCCCCAAAGTTAGAACCACCACTGTCTCTGATATATAAGCTATGGCCACAGTTTTTAAGATAAGAGAACTTTGATATGCTAACATAAATGGCCTCAAGAATGCTCACAAATGCCAATTTTTTTTAACCCCCCCCCCCGTGCATGACCATAATTTTTAACAATGAGATGAAATTTTGTATGGTTGTTTATTGTATGTACACTTAATTTGACCAAGGGCAGACAAGGGCTATGTGGCTGCACACATTCTGGTTAACTTTACTACATTGAGAGAGAGAGAGAAAGAGAAAAGGACAACACTGGATGCCCCAGTTAGTTCTAAATATAAGAGTACAGTACTATACCACTACAGGTATCATTTTTCATATACTTTAACCATTCCAGTTTTTAATATTTTACAACTACAAATGATCTCAAACCTCTTAATTACTATGGCTATCTTACATTGGGAATAAGATAAGATTGGAAAAGATATTCTTTTGTAAGTGAAATGTAAGTTAATAAGTATGTACACAACTTTCCCAAATCTTCTTATTCCTTCTTCTTATGTGAACTGCCGAGAATCTTGCGCCTCTGAGCAAGCATATGCATGTATAGCATGGGGAAACCTGTTGAGAGAAGACCTCACTAGTATTATATTATTAACAGAAATTGTACATTACAGTACATGTACTGTATATCATAAGTTATTACACTTTATAATACTTAATGTTGAACTTTCATATTAGAGTGAATATAATATTGAAACTGTTTGAATTTAATTTTATGTAATTAGAAAATTTTAGTCAACATAAGTGTTCTTTTAATTAAGAGACAACAGTTTGTCAGCTCCTGCACCTCTAACAAATATTACTGATAATAAAACAAACATGAGAGCTGTGCACAGTACAAAATACTCAGCCACTGGTGATAAAGGTAAGTTACAAGAAAACACCTGATTAACCTCAAAATCAATAGGCTTTTTCCTCCTCTAGTACTGTACTGGATTTGCCGTCTATAACATATACAACATAATACTATCCATAACTGAGTATTTAACTAAATAGTGCAAGTCATACTAAGAAAATCCTCAAAGATCAAGTCAATTATGATCAGAAAAAACAACTTACATGGTATATACAGAAGAACAAAGATGATCAATGCATAGTAGAAATCAAAGCTGAAGTTCAGGGCATTAGGGAATGTGACAGAGTATATCCGTGTGTCAGCCACAATAGGCAAAGCTGTATATACACACAACATCTCTCCTGTTACACCTACAGGGTATAGTATAATAAAGAGGGTGTACCTGAAAATAGACAGATTTTTTTTAGATTATTTAAATGATACCGGTGAAATTTCCCTACATAATGTCCCCCCCCTGCTCAGTATATTTCCTTTTAACATATACAGTACTGTACTCTCATCAGTTGCTTTCATCAAGTCACCCTAACTACTGAGCATCATGTAACTTGTGGTTTTTTGGAGGATGTCCAAACACCTGGTTGCTAGTGTGTCCCTAACCCCATTTTTCTGTCTCCTTGGTCTACTCCTCCCTCCTCTCATCCACCTCTAATTTGTATCCTGCCTCTCCAATTGGGAGAGGCAGGATAAAGTGCATTGAATAATGACACAGTTATTATGGCTGAAACAAATTCATCCTAAGAATATTAAACAGTATTTTCTCAATTTAACAACTAATCAAGCCACCCCTTTCCCTTAAATCAAAATTTCCGGTAAATCGAGCGTGATTCCGTTAAATTTCCACTAAATCAAACTTTCCGTTATTTTTGCTCGATTTAGCAAACTAAATAACTAAATCGAGTGTGATTCCGTTAAATTCCACGCTTGGCGTGTAGGGTTTGTTTACATCCGCTCAGTCTGTGTCCTGCCGCCACCTCTCATGTTGTTCACTGCTACCTCTCGGTCAACTAACTACAGTACCTGTACTGTGCTTAGACATCAAGCCGAAAGTTCTTCAGAAGTCTCAGAAAGGAAGTGGTGTGGGGTAGAAAGTCAAAAGAGTGCAGCTATCAATTGGAAAAAGTTTGGAAATTATAGAAAAATTTGAAAACAAACACCAAACCCCTAGTTTAAGGTAAACCATGAATAATGTTTCCATGTACAGTACATACCATGTTTACTTTTATCCTCTTCGCCACTGATCAGCTCGTTAGCCGCTTGGGCGATCGGTCACGTCCCTGATTACTTTTCCTTTTCATTTATCCTCTTCACCAAAAGATCGGCTCGCTAGCCGCCCGAGCGATCGGTCACGTCTCTGCCACGCACTGTTGGCAAGTACTGGGCATGCACCGGCTCCTGAATGTACCTGAACCCGCTCCAGTGTTGGTCAAGTCTTGTCTTGAAAGAGCTCACACTCGGTGCCGTCACAATACTCTCTGGTAGATTGTTCCAAGAGTTTACAACCCTCACTACGAAAAAGTTTGCCCTCACAGTTTTCTGGACTTGCGACTTCTTCAATCTTGAGCTATGCCCCCTTGTGGGGCGAGCGTCCGCCAGCTCCAAATAAGGACACGACTGAGTAGTGCCCCCTGAGATGCTTATACACCTCAACTAGGTCACCCCTTGCCTGTCTGTAGTATAAGCTAGGCAAGTTCAGGCGCTCCAATCTCTCAGGGTAGCTGAGGTGCCGAAGTGCAGGCACCAGTCTGGTGGCCCTCCTTTGAACGTCTTCAACCAACTGACAGTCCCTAGCATATCTCGGGGACCAGACAGGGTGACAGTACTCCAGATGGGGAAGCACTTCACTCTTGAAGATCGTTACGAGGGACGGACCGTCTAGATATCTGAACAACCTTCTTATAAGACCCAATAATTTATTTGCCTGGTTTACCTTCTTCTCGCAATGGCCCGAGAACTTCAGCTCATTGTCAACATACACATGTGTCTGAGGTGTCTCCATAGGTGTGAGCATATTAATGGAATTCATCTCGATTTAGCGAACTAGTTTACTAAATCGAGAGAAAAATAACGGAAAAAATTCCTTCTGCTAAATCGAGAGTTCATTATATTGAATTCCATTAAATCAAGAGTACAGTATACTATACTCGAAAAGGAATGACACAAATCATCCTAAACTCATTTTGATATGCCTACCACAGTGCAGAACAAAGGACTGAAAAAATACAAAGAAATTGAGAAAATTATCCAATGGCCGAAAAGGAACAAATCAGTGAAAAACTTGACCCCATGGGATTTCAAGATCTCTAAAGTGAGGAGGAATTAGAAAAACACCAAAAGGACGATGCAGGAAATATTTTGTTGGCCAAACTAAAGAAACAAGTTGAAAAATTCTAAAACACTGAGGTATTTCATAAAGTGATGAACTTTCATAATAATGAAAGACTTACTGAAATCTAAGCATGAATTATTTTGTACAGGCAGTTGTAGTAGACATCAACATCATAATTTTTATACACAATCTCATTTTAATCTCTTATAATATGAAGGTACAAACATGTTAATTCATAAAAAAAAGTAAACACATCTGACTCATTTGTGCATGTGAAGCATTAACAGGCTCCAAGCATCATAATAATCTAACAGGAACAACCAAAACAGTGTAGCAAATGTAATTTACCTGAGAAAGGTGAGGGTATATGGAACCTGCTTGAGGATGTTGAGGAAATAGAAGGAATATCGGATGACTTCAGTCACACTCCAGGCAATCAGTAACAGGGGTACCCCTAGGGAAACATTTATGTTAATCTTTAATGGAAATGGAAGCAGCTGTTACTGCAACACCTATTATGTCCAGGGAGAGTTTATTAACACTGTAAACTGCAGTAAGTTCAAAGAGAGACAAAGTTATCATGACTTCAGGCACTGTACTACATTAATTTACTCTACTATGTTTAATGCAAGAGTTATTCTGTCATGAAATCTTTCTTAATTATGTTGTATTATTTGGTGTGTGTAGATTCTGGGAAAATGAAACCACATCGTGTGTTGATGGTTTCTACTGGTTCAAATATCACATTCAACATGGGACATCTGCAGCCACTAACTCCACAGAATGTTGAATTTCTTTGCAACAAAACATGAGGCTGCTGTGAGGAAAACGTAAATGTATCTGGGCGTCATGGTTTCACTCCAGAAAGGTTAAGAGCCTCCTGACCGAGATTATGGCAGACCTGAAGGAATAGCCTGTGGGCCACAGATTCATAACTACTAGCTTACACAAGACTTAACATAAAAACACTGCACTTTTATATCCATACAAACAAAATTGACCTCAATTTACACAATATGTAAGCATGTGGATGCAATCCGATGTATTTATGTACATGAATATGCAACAGAATAAATATTTTGAAGTATCTCAACAATAAAAAATTAACAGCCAATAGTTTTACCTATGCTGTTATGAGTTTCTTCAACAGCGCAGAGAACAGGCCAGAGTACTATGAGGCGAGAAGCCACTTGGGGAAGCACCATCATGACACTAGATGGGACCAGGCCCACAGCAGCATGTACAATCTGCAGAATATTAAAACTGTTACACCTGTTACACAGAGGAGAGTACATCAAAACTGTTAGCATTACACAAGAGAGAGTGTCTATTGCTGGTATGATTATATCAATGCAATAATTTGGAATTTCCTCTTTGAAAATTTTATTAATCAATGTAAGACAGTAGGGGTACTTTACAGAACTACAGTACATGTTATTACAGTTTATTCAAAGAATCTGTTCACTAAAGCTACAGCAGTACAGTACACTGTAAATTAGAAAGTAGGTAAAAGAAACCTTGAAACCAATGATAATCTTAAACAAGTTTTTATCCACCTGAGTCCATTATTTTTGTCAAGGTTCTGCCCTAAAAGTCTGGTGAGGCTGTTCTGTGGCCACCTAAACTTTTTACTTAAACCAAAAAAGTATGTACTGTAGGGTGTCTGGCAGGGAGTGAATTTCTCTGTCCTTCACCCACTTATACAAAACATTAAACTGTATTTTTCACTCTATTTACTGACACGCGTTTAAATGTCTAAAGCAGAATCTTTTATATACTGTACTGTAATGGTAACAAGATTCACAATTACTGTAATACAGGTATAATAGTCATCCCTCCTTGTCATTATATTCTGATAATGGAATGAAGGGTGACTAATGTACTTCCTACCATAAGTTTTCATACTAATTCTTCCACTTTTATATCTAATGACAAATCATAATATGCTAAATAACAAAAAATATTAATCACCAAATTACTGTACAGTACTGTATTTAATTTTTATTGTTCTCAACACACCAATACTTTTCAACTGTGTAAGGGTTTGCTGACAACAACAGTGAAGTCATTTTATTTGGGATCTTCAATGCAACAATCTGCATAAAATATGACCAAACACTAATTTTCACCAACCAAAATTCTTTCATGTTTTTTTTTCAGCATTCACTTACTATAATTCCATTCTTCTGCAAGTAGTGTACACTACTACAGGTGCTGGTGTAATTTTTTGAAATATTAATACAAACTCTCAAATACCTATACTAGACAGTACAGTACAGTATACAGTACCGTAGCCCTGTACCGTACTTAAATTTGGTCCCTCACCTTTATATGGTATATGCATCCATTAACCCTGACTTTTACTGTTGTATGTAAACATAAACAAGAAATAATTATGATTAATTTTCCTTTTAAACAAAACGTACCTACTGTACGGGTATATTTAAAATGATCATGCAGACAATTACCACATGGAGCTTACCTCCAACACAGCAAGCGTCTGAAAGATCTTGAGTACATTACTAGTGCTCTCCCACAGTCCTCTTAAACTTCCTCCTTCGTACACTAAATGATGTACTGTTTGTATTAAAACTATGAGCCACCTGAAATATATAACAAGCTTCTCAATTCATCAATGGCTGTACTGTATTCCCTTCATACTCTTTATCTCTTTGCTGTCATACAAAAAAAATGGTACAGTACTGTATTAGCTTAATAAAATATAATACTGGAACTGTACACTATAATTTTTCATACTCAATCATATGTCTGGAACTTATGAAAACAGTACAGTATTCACAGATGAGTAATGTGCTATCTACTAGAGGTATTTATACTGTGTTAGGTAGACCATAGAGCACAAAGATAATGTACCAATGTAAGAGAAGGGAACAAATACAATGGTGTATATAAACTTTATTGTAATGCTAAGTGTACAGCATAAAGCAAAAGAAAAGGGCTATGATAACAACCAGAAATATACGCACAAACTCTTAAAAGTGGACACTGTCATAGTTGTGCAAATGTGTTTGAAAAGTGGGTATTTCTAAATTAAACCTATCCTAACCTTAGTTGATATGAAAATCAAGCAGCAGAAACATTAGAAGACCTCACCAACCAAACCAAACAAACCTACCTAACCTTCCTAGCCAGACCCCCTGGTATATTAAACAGAAAAAACTTACTATGATATGGTGTAAATTTATGTTTTTTTGTGGACGTGAGCAAGCAGCCACCCATACCAAACTGCTCATACAGAGCATCGGCGTCAATCCAGCCCGGGCAGCGGAGTGTTTTGAAATACATTAATATGATTGGCTGATTGGTAAAATTGTAGTTTTGGCCGATATGCCTTAATAGTTCAGAAATTAGTTTATCCTGTGTATTTTGGTGTGATTTAATCGAATTTGACCGAAACTGCAATAATACTGGCTGTTTACATCCTGGGATAAGACGTCACATTACCGCCGAGGAGACAAAGTAGTGAGAGCATAGGCGCTTAATTATCTATCAAACGAAGCATTTGCACAAGAAATGATTATCATATCAGAACTCCCTGATAAAAATAAAATAAGAAAATTAACATTAAAACCAATCATGCGTCGGCGAGTCAGTCGTCAATATTAACTCAAAAATCCAACTGTCTCCATTAATTTACTAACAATTTTAAGGTTTTTAACACGCAATACATACATCTCACCATTTTGAGCATCTTTAATTCTATACAATTCCCTTGCAAATAAATTATAAAGAACCTAATAGTACGTGACCTTACCAACCAAAGAAACCAAATGGTACCTAACCTTACTTAACGTGGACAGACTAAAGAATAACGTTAACCTTGGTTTCCTTACACATTTATCATCCGGATACCCTTCAAATAAACCATGCCATTAAACAAAAAAAAATCACAATTAGAGTTGTTATAGAGCAAAAGGAAAGTAAACTATTAACTCTAAATTCCAAGACAAGGCCCAATGAGCCAGTATTATACTTACCCAAGACTCAAGAAGACATTATAGAATATGAGATAAATTTCTCCAGGTGAGCTCGAGGCCGATGGTTTTACCTTCCCTGACATCTTACAGGTTTTGTGCCTATAAGAAATTTATGTTGTTTCTCTGGAGAAAAATAATTTATCCTTTTAGATGCTCTAACACGCTTATTTCGTTGAACTTGAAGTATCGATCTCCTTAAGTAACGCACATGAACTGGAGGAGAAAGCGGATCACCTGCCAACAGCTACCTCACCCTATGAAAGTAACTGTAATCTAAGGTGTAAGGTATAAAGCTACTCTAACTGAGTCCCGTGTGCCAGTAGAGCGCATGCTTGGCCACTAGAGGACACTGATCAGTGGCGGGAAGGGCTGCGTCGTCTGTTTATTTTGAAATTTGGGACGCTGAGCCCACAGATGACTGTATCAATTGCTCGCAGCACTGACATGACATGTCATGACATGGCGTGTCATGTTCATGACAAATGAATATGGCGCGAAAAAATCATGGTTCCGAAATTACGCGAAATCTCGCGAGATTATCCGAAATTAAAAACGGTCCTGTATATGGCCTGTAGTACCGTAGTAAGAGGTGGGCATCAATTTCTAGTGGACCCAAGGGATCCCTCCGGAGTGCAGTTATGAACTATTCTAAAATGCGCATTAATGAATAGCAACGCTTGAAATATCTGGCGGTTGTCTTTTGGTATGGGTTATATAGTAGAAAAACGGGAGTTTATTTCCGCCATGCGGAAGCTTACGGTACTCGAAGGCCTCTTAGCTTTTGATGTAAGATAAGTTGGTTAAGGGGGCCAGAAGCTATAAGTGAACCCACCCGTTGAACCACTCAGCGGCCCAGCCTTAATGTTGACTGTCGGGAGTCGGTTCTTCCTAAGTCGTCAATGAATGTGGCAAGAAACATGTTAACCTGTTGCATTACCGTAGTAGCGGGTATCAAATTTTTCATATCCACAGTACTATTTTTATCAACAGCATGAAACTACATAAGGGTTTTAAGAGGGACCTGCAGCCACAGCTCACATCATACATGTAGCTCATCACAGAGGACAAATTTATCGGTGTTATTACAAGTGAAACCTGGGATGCGTATTGGAGAAGATAATGTAAAAAAAAAAATCCCTAAAGTTTCTGTTACTTTTTACAGCGAATAAATATAATAAAACGTAATTTTATAATATGATGTGATTATTAGGGGCACGAATTAACGACAAGAGAGATAGTCGGGATAGAGCCATTAGCACTGTAGCAGCCGACGCAACAGCTGATGAAGTGATGGTGTTGTACAGTGTGTAGGACAAGGAGTCTGGGCACTTCATCCCTTTGCTTTTAACATTATTATAATTCTATTAGCTCCCTGGATTAATTGTAATGTTAGAACACGTAGTTGGAAGGCGAGAGTGAATTTTACGATTTCTCAGTGTTACGAAGGCAAGTATATAATTAAGGAGAAGAATTGAGGTTTATTGAATTCATATTTTTGTGTAGATATGACAAGGATACAATCCACAAGGTAACGTCTGCATATTTAATAAAATATTGTAAAAAGTATTTCAACCGGGTAGCCAACTGCCTAGGGCTAATGTAAAGGTTGATGTTAGGTGAAAATAAATTTGAAGTGAATGATAATGTCTTAAGACTCAAGCTAGGTAAGGTTAAGTTAGGAAATGCGGTTACCGTATGTTTTGACCACCTACTAAAGATATAGAAGTTTTATTTAAGATGTTTAAGCAAACTTTAAGGTAAAATTATCGTTTCGGTCATGCACCTATTTTGAAGTAGGTCAGAATCGTTCAAAACCGGTCAAAAACCACCGGAAAAACATAATTTCAACCAAACCTAACCTAACCTAAACTTAAAATCCTAAAATTTGCTGCATGTTCAAAATGATAACAATACCAACTTTTATTGGTTTGAAGAAAAGTAGACAGTATTTGTAGGATAGTTACCTACTTGATTAGTTGTGAAATTTTTCTCGGTTAATATTGGCGATTTACCTGCGTATGCGTTACTTGTTTCGCTGTTTATTTTCTTATGCTATTTTTTCAGTGAGTTCTGATATGAGAATCATTTCTTGTGCAACTGCTTTGTTTGGTAGATAATTGGGTGCCTAGGTGGGCACTACTTTGTCATCTCAGCGGTAATGTGGCGGTGACGTTTCATGCAAGGATGTAAACAGCCAATCATATTGACATATTTCAAAACACTCCGCTGCCCGGGCCTGATCAACTCTGATGCTCAGTGTATGGTTATGTGGTAATATGAGAATGGGATTAATGATTTTTTGAAGGGCATCTCTTTTGTAATACAGTGCATTAAATAAAAAAGTGGTTATTTGTCTGGTCATGGACCTTTACAGTATTTATTTCTGCTATTTGTCTGGCATTCATTCCGGATTGGTCAAGATTGATGATGCTCATCGTGGTAGCTGAGGGGGTCCGACTAATTACCCAAATGTACCAAGGTGTAGCCAAATATAGCCGGAATGAAGTCAAATAATGGTCCTAGATGAATAAATCGGACTGCCAATCACTTCTCGACTAGTATTTGGTGTCAGAAAGTCACAAAAAATTGGAAAACTTACTTTAATCCGAGTTAATAGATCGCGTGCATGTACCGATGGAGCGAGGAATTACCCAAATGTACCCAAATGTAGTCGCAATGAAGTCAAATAATGGTCCTAGATGAATAAATCGGACTGCCAATCACTTCTCGACTAGTATTTGGTGTCACAAAATCACAAAAAATTGGTAAACTTAATTTAATCTGAGTTAATAGATCGAGTGCATGTACCTAACCTAACCTAACCTAACCTCGACTAGTATTTGGTGTCACAAAGTGACAAAAAATTGGTAAACTTAATTTAATCTGAGTTAATAGATGAAGTGCATGTACCTAACCTAATCTAATCTAACCTAACCTAACACAACACAACTCAGATTAAATTAAGTTTACCAATTTTTTTTTTTACTTTATGACACCAAATAATAATCGAGAAGTGATTCACAGCCCGAATTACGCTTGTATGACCATCATTTGACTTCATTGCGGCTACATTTGGGTACATTTGGGTAATTCCTCGCTCCGTCGGTACATGCACGCGATCTATTAACTCAGATTAAAGTAAGTTTTCCTATTTTTTGTGACTTTCTGACACCAAATACTCGTCGAGAAGTGATTAGCAGTCCGATTTATTCATGAAGGACCATTATTTGACTTCATTGCGACTATATTTGGGTACATTTGGGTACTTAGTCGGACCGTAGCTGAGGTGTCGAAGTGCAGGCACCAGTCTGGTGGATGAGATTAAGTTAAGTATGGTTACCGGGTAGGACAGTTGGAAAAATTACCTTGGTTCTTGAAAATATTTGCAATGGTATAATGGTTAAGTATCAGTATCTTCAGTTTTCTTATTTTATAGGTTTATATTATATTTCCTTTATTTCTAAGATGCTTTAGAGTTTTTTAATGGTTTTCTACAACTTTTATTGTTTCATTACATGTAACAGAGGCAACATGCCATCTCACAGGCCATCCCATTCCCGGTTTTCCCCCTATCATAGTGAGTCAAGGTATAGCTTAACTGAATTCGTCAAGTGTGAAAGGGTGTCAAATATTTTTCCGCTAATGTGAATTCACATTAAATGAATTAACACTAAACGAGGGATACCTGTACTGTACAGTATACAGTTGTACCCCACTTAACGCTGTCAATAGAACCCAGAGGGTCCCGCGTTAAGTGAAATCCGCGTTAAGTGAACAACAGAACATATGGGATTAATTCCAATAGAAACCAGCCCGACCCCCAAACTCCACTTTTTGAAGACACATAACTATGTTGTAGTAAAAATAACATCTTAATTTTATGATGGTACATGCACACAATTAATACTTAAGAGAAATAGAGAAATACAGTCGCCAAGTTAATGTCCATTCAAATAATGGACTCAACTCCCTCCCCCTCTTCTCACACTACACTGCTGGCTCTTCCCTCTCTGAGAAATTTTTTGGGGGAAAACCACTAAATTTTAATAAATAATACCTCAAACTAAAGTTAGGATAATACAATTGACATTGCTGGATTCCTTGTAAGACCAGGAATATTTTGAATATAAATGTCATATATTTTGCACAAAAGATAACATATTTACTAGAGAAAACATTTTATCTAAAATTTGTATGTCTAATGCAAAATATATGATGTTTATATTCAAAATGATCACCAAATTATAAGAATTCCAGCAATGTAAATTATATTCTGGCCGGGTAATTTGTATGAATTTTATGAGCTAAAACAAATATCTTCAGTTAATAAAAAAAAAAATATTCTTCAGGACACTATCTGTCAATCAAAGTACCCCACCTTGCCTCCCCCCTCTTCCAACCGTGCGGTCAGTCCCAACCCTCCCCCCACCCCCCACCAATCTCCCTTCAAAAGAAGAGTGGGTGAAAAAAATAAATTTTAACATTTTGTATTAAATAATACCTCAGATTAAAGTTAGGATAATATAATTGACATTGCTGGATTCCTTGTAAGACCAGGAATATTTTGAATATAAATGTCATATATTTTGCACAAAAGATAACATATTTACTAGAGAAAACATTTTATCTAAAATTTGTATGTCTAATGCAAAATATATGATGTTTATATTCAAAATGATCATCAAATTATAAGAATTCCAGCAATGTAAATTATATTCTGACCAGGTAATTTGTATGAATTTTATGAGCTAAAACAAATATCTTCAGTTAATAAAAAAAAAAATATTCTTCACGGGGTAACAGATGGTCGGTCGGTCCCTCCCCCCCCCCACCCCCCACCAACCGTCCCAAGGAGATGTGTGGGAAAACCACTAAATTTTAATAAATAATACCTCAAACTAAAGTTAGGATAATATAATTGACATTGCTGGATTCCTTGTAAGACCAGGAATATTTTGAATATAAATGTCATATATTTTGCACAAAAGATAACATATTTACTAGAGAAAACATTTTATCTAAAATTTGTATGTCTAATGCAAAATATATGATGTTTATATTCAAAATGATCACCAAATTATAAGAATTCCAGCAATGTAAATTATATTCTGGCCGGGTAATTTGTATGAATTTTATGAGCTAAAACAGGCATTCAGGCAGGGTGGTGGGTGGGGCAAATCTAAAAATAGCGTCTCGAGCCGGACACTCACCGCTTATATGTGGAAAAAATCCGTGTTAAGTGGAAGTTCAGCTCTGGCGAGGCACCGCGTATATGAAAAAACGTGTTAAGTGAAACCGCGTTAGGCGGGGTAATACTGTACTTATTACTTCTCATGTCAGCTCCATACTACCAAGAAGTTTTATTTTTATTATTTTTTTATTTTTATTTATTAATTTTTTTATTTTTTTATTTTTATATATACTGTACAGGGATTAACCCACCTGGGCACAGGACACTGACCCACATCAGGGCCTGGGGGCGAAAATGTAATTTTAATAATTTCAAAAATTCATAAATTTTATAAAAAAATACAGAAATAAAAATAATAAAATAATAGTAATAATAATAAAGAACCATAAAGATACAAAAATGAAAAAAGAAAAGAAAGATAAAGAGCGAGAAACAATATACTGTACGTATGTTGTGTTGTCAAAGTAATAGAAACAATTGAGACCCTGCAATTGTGTGTAAATGAGGCAGAAAGTTAGACCAGCAACCTGGGACTTGGTCACAATTTTTATGATGCCATATGGCAGCAGGGTCTACCATTAGACAGCACATTATGCTTCCAATATCTTGCTGTAGACTCTCTTTATTTAATTCATTATTAAGAAAAGGGTCCAGATAATGTGAAGATATCAACTTTATTTTGAGTGACCTGAACAAGAAAGAATTTGACATCTTGGTTGATACTACTGTAGTACTGTATATTTGGTACCTTGTCCATTTTCTGCTCTTGGGGTAATGTGATACATAAGGTGCTAAATTGTTAAGTAGATAATTCTTTAGTATTTCCAGTACAGTACAGCCATACAGTGTTGCAGGGGTTGTAATAGAGTTTAATGAGGAAATCTTCTTGTAACCTAATACAGTACATAAGATACAGTGCAGTACTGTATAAGAAGCATGGCAGTCGAGTTGACACAGCACTCGCCTCCTTTTCCAGGGTGTTCGGTAGTTCAGTTTCTGGGCAATCCCAGTTCGGCCAGCTGTAAATGGGTACCTAAGTTTACAACTTGAGGAAGTGTATGCGGTCAAGTGCAGTACCGACCATGCTGTCTCCTTGTGGACTGAAGACTTAATATACAGTGCAGTGTGCTGTATCTACACTGCCCCTAATGGGTCCCACTTTCGCTTTCACAGTATTGTAGTACAGTGTATTTTAGGCCTGTGGGTAATACTGTATTGTACTGTACTGTGGAATACCATTGCGGGCAAACCAGAAACCGTAGGAAGTTTCTCCATAGAAGATGAACTCTTTCTTATCTCAAAGAACTCCAATGAAATGATGATGTGTAATTTTTATTATACTGTACTTGTATAAGTACAGTAATATCTCCCTTAGCCGAATCCTTCAAACCCGGAACTCTCCGATAGCCGGAATTGAAATTTTCTCTGAAAATTGTTCCCAAAGCCGGAATTTTCTGGAAAATTCCGGCTTTGGGAACGATTTTTCGAGGGACACATTTTCCGGAAAATTCCGAAAACAAATTACCCGATAACCGGGGATGAGAGAGTTTTTTCCGGGTTAGAGAGATGAAAATCAGGCGCAATTTCTGGAACTTCCGAGAAAATTTTTCTGTTACCCAGAAAATTCCGGGGTTGAGGGATATTTTTGTGGGTTCGAGAGATGATGCAATGGGCAATTTCTGGAACTTCCGAGAACATTTTTCCGTTATCCAAAAAATTTCGGAAAATTCCAGGGATGAGAGACTTTTTCCAGCTTTGAGAGAGTTGTCTCATTACCCGGAAATCTCTCATTCCCGGAAGTGCTCTGCACCAATTGTTCTGTGTGGTAAATAAAACACTTGGTTGCCACATCCAAGCTTTACTTGACTCATTTCACCACATATCTGAAATAACACAAAAGCAAATGTTGTAACAATTCAAAGAGGAAACAACAATGAACATAATATAACATAGTGGTTTTATCCTAATACTGTAATGAAATAACTGCTTACACAAAATACATAGTCAGATCAACCGAGATCAGATGATAGCAAGTACTGTACGTGAAGTGCAATAAATGCCGCAAGTATACAGTAAACTAAATAAACTAAAATGATACTTACAAACAATAACAAAATAATATTACAGTATTTTCCGTAATTATTTGCTAAAAATATCACATTCTGGCTAATGGCGATATCACTATACAGTCAACCCTCACTTTACGCGGTTAATGTAACCCACAGGGTACCGCGTAAAGTGAATAACATAACATATGGGATTAAATGAAATAGAGACCAGCTGACCCCGAAACTCCACTTTTTCCAACACAATACCTATGTTCTAGTAAAAATAACATCTTAATTTTATGATGGTACATGCACACAATTAATACTTAAGAGAAATACAGTCGCCAAGTTAATGTCCATTCAAATAATGGACACGACTCCCTCCCCCTCTTCTCACACTACACTGCTGGCTCTTCCCTCTTGAGAAATTTTTGGGGGAAAACCAGGTATAGTAATAAATAATACCTCAAACTAAAGTTAGGATAATATAATTGACATTGCTGGATTCCTTGTAAGACCAGGAATATTTTGAATATAAATGTCATATATTTTTCACAAAAGATAACATATTTACTCAGAGCAATCATTTCATCTAAAATTTGTATGTCTAATGCAAAATCTATGATGTTTATATTCAAAATGATCATCAAATTGTAAGAATTCCAGCAATGTAAATTATATTCTGGCCGGGTAATTTGTATGAATTTTATGAGCTAAAACAAATATCTTCAGTTGATAAAAAAAAAAAATATTCTTCAAGACACTATCTGTCAATCAAAGTACCCCACCTTGCCTCCCCCCCTCTTCCATCCAGCCAGATGGTCAGTCCGTCCCAACCCTCCCCCCAACCTCCCACCAACCCTCCCTTCAAGAGAAAGAGTGGGTGAAAAAACTAGATTTTAACATTAAGTATTAAATAATACCTCAGATTAAAGTTAGGATAATATAATTGACATTGCTGGATTCCTTGTAAGACCAGGAATATTTTGAATATAAATGTCATATATTTTGCACAAAAGATAACATATTTACTCAGAGTGAACATTATATCTAAAAATTTTATGTCTAATGCAAAATATATGATGTTTATATTCAAAATGATCATCAAATTGTAAGAATTCCAGCAATGTAAATTATATTCTGGCCAGGTAATTTGTATGAATTTTATGAGCTAAAATAAAAATCTTCAGTTAATAAAAAAAAAAATATTCTTCACACGGTAACAGATGGTCGGTCGCCGGTCCCTCCCTCCCCCCCACCCCCCACCAACCGTCCCTACTACATAAATGTGTGGGAATACCAGACTGTTTACCTTTTTAGTAATAAATAATAAATCAGACTAAAGTTAGGATAATACAATTGACATTGCTGGATTCCTTGTAAGACCAGGAATATTTTGAATATAAATATCATATATTTTGCACAAAAGATAACATATTTACTCAAGAGTAAACATTATATCTATAATTTGTATGTCTAATGCAAAATCTATGATGTTTATATTCAAAATGACCATCAAATTGTAAGAATTCCAGCAATGTAAATTATACTCTGGCCGGATAATTTGTATGAATTTTATGAGCTAAATAAAAAAATTATACTTCACCCGTGTAAAGGGGTACACCCACCGCGGAATGTGAGCATCCTGGGTTCTGGCAGGGCACCGCGTAGACGTAGAAACGCGGAATGTGGGACCGCGTAAAGTGAGGGTTGACTGTACTGTACTATAATATTTTTCGTCGTCAACACAAATTTATGTCCACCTGATGACACGATTTGTTTTGTTGACATGACCATTTGACAAAAAGGAATGCCAAAAACTTAACAGCTACTACTACGTTATATACTGTATAGCTATGATTTTTCAGAGATAAGATGAAACTATCTTAGGTTAGATTGGGTATGTTAGGGTAGGTTGGTTCATCCTATTTCTGATATACAGTACTGTATCATGTAATGTAGCAGTCTCGAGGAAGCATTCATGTGTATGAAGGGCTGTTCAGGAGAACATCACCAAAATAATACATTATCATACCATATTCATTGACTATTAAATATATGTTAAATTTATTTATTTTATTGTACAGTATTTTGTTTTTCTTTTGTAGCTGTTAAGTAAAAATATAGCTGTGCAAAGAATGATTGACAATACTGTATACTGTAGGAACAAACATACTCAGGAATTACTAAAGGCAGTACTATACTGTAATGTAGTTTTATATTATAATAAGCATGAGTTTCAAAGTGCAGTACTGTACAGGATTTAGCACCAAATATAGAATTAGAGAATCAATTCAACTGTGTTTTTCTTTTGCAGTATGAAGTGAACTTGTACTGGTCGCTGGCAACTATCTCAACTTTAGTAATGGTAAGCTAGTAATATTTAAAAAATTAGAGTATAGAACATATAGTTACTGTAAATATAGACTCAACTGAAATTATTGAATGTAAAATTTCTTTTCATTACACACTATATCTTAAAAGCTTAGTTTGATCAAGTTTTCTTAACCCTTAAACTGTGTCTGTGAGAAAACCTGACTACCACTGAGTGTGTGTAAAAAAAAAAAAGGAGAAAAGAGTCTTAAAGAAATATCAAATTCCATTGTCTTTTTGGGATACTACTCCCACAGCCCAGCTGGACCAGAAATTACTGGGAACTCATTGTGTGTAATCAAGTAAGAAAGATGAGCTCCACTGGTGTGTTAACTTAACAGTGACATAGCTATGGAGCTTATCAAGCAGTTGCTGGTGTAGAACCATTTTGATTGCATTCATGAAATCCGTATGGCTACTATCTAAGATCTGACCTTTGTGTGCCATGGTGCTTTATGTGCCAACCTTCTCACTCTGTGGAGAATGGCTTATTTGACATAGATTGAGAACATTCTTTAAGCATGTATACAGTACTGTAGTTTTATGCCTCTTACAGGGCTTGAGTGTTGTGGAACAGGACCACAGCAGCGGTCTGCCACCTTCGTTGGGAGCTGTTCTACCAAAACAGTCAGCTGACAAACCAGCTTTTACGATGCCAGATCCAGCGAGTACCTCCCAAGCCCTGGCTAGGGTCACTCCTCTTGCTGATGATGGTAGGGAGTTTGTGTGTGGTTGGGGAGCAGCATTCATCAACATAACGGTCACATTTCCAATGAACAAACTCATGTTTCGGCAGGTATGGCAAATGGAATTGTGTCGGCAAGTTTTTGTTGGTTTTGTAGGAATACTAAGTTTCATAATTACCAAAGCCATATGAAGATGAATTTTTAATGTGATTTATATTTTTGTTTTATTTTTCAATACAGTGAACCCTCACTTTACGCGGTCAATTGAACCCACGGCGGCCCGCGTAAAGTGAACAACATAACATATGGGATTAATTGAAATAGAGACCGGGCCGACCCCCAAACTCCACTTTTTCAGACACAATACCTATGTTGTAGTAAAAATTACTAATTAATTTTATGATGGTATGCACACACAATTAATAATTAAGAGAAATATCAATAATATTAGGTTTTTTAACACTTACATTAGTAGAAAAGATGGCTGGGCACACGGGGATAGGGGGTTGGTTCCGAGGCAGAGGGCAGATTATTGGCCCTCACCTGTATCACTTGTATCAATTGTATCACTATCCACCACAGAGGCTTGCACGGCCTCTTTGTCAAACCCCTCAAAGTCCATATAAGTCCATATCCTCACTATCATTATCACTATCACTGACTTGGTCCGGCTGTGGTGGGTGGCGGGTGAAGAACTCGGTAATGTTTTGATGACTGGGCGACCTTGTGCGCACCCTGTTCGCGCCGCTCTCCGCGTAAAAGGGTACACACACCGCGGAAAGTGAGCATTCTGTGTTCGGCAGGGTACCGCGTAAACGTAGAAACGCGTAAAGTGGGACCGCGTAAAGCGAGGGTTGACTGTACTGTATTTAGTTTTTAATTTATTTAAAAAACTTGTTGATGATAAATTTTATTCTGTAGTCCATTCTGCAAGCTGTATTATGTGGCACTAATTTTATGTATAGAACAGGGTAGCTTGTTTACCTGTATGCTAATACTGTGGCATGTATTACAGTGACCCCTCGGTTAACGAACTCAATCCGTTCCAGAAGGTCGTTCGTTAACCGAAAAGTTCGTTAACCGAAACCATTGTTTCAATGGGTTTTTGGGTAATTGGTTCCAGCTCACCGAAAATTTCCTAAATTCAACAAAAATGGTAGAAAAGTTCACTTACTTTGAGGTGTGTATGTAGAAGGCTCCTGGATGATGATGATGATGATGGGAATTACAATGGGGTGGAGGAGAAGGAAGAAGAGAAGGCATTGGGGTGGAAGAGAAGTCACCCCATGGCACCATTTCACCCATAAAATTTTAGTTCTCTTGGTGTATTTCAAGATTATTTTCTTTAAATCAACACTGTACTGCATTATATATTGTCACTATGTAAAATATATTTCAAAATGACCAATAATTTGCTTGGAAACACAGAAAAAAGCGTTTAGTTGAAGAGAGTCTCAAGCAAGATGTTACCTCCAGTGAAAACAGAGAGACTAACGCCTGTTTGCTGTGTTAAGAAGCTGGATGCTGCGCTTTAAACTAGTCACTTTACCTTCAATTGTGTTCAATAATTGTTAAAATGACTAAAAAATTGAATACTAAACTTTTAAAATTATTGAATAGTATAAACTTCTTGATATTTACTAAAATAGTTAGGAATTTAAGCCCTAGAACCGATTAATGTATTGGCGGACTGATACTAAAGCTGGTTGCCCGGCCAGTGCAAGCGAAAACATGTTGAGGTCGGTTCGTAAGAAATTCGTTAACCGAATTGAAGATCTTTATGGAAGGCAGTTCGTTAACCGAAATTTCGTTAACCGAGGCGTTCGTTAAACGAGGGGTCACTGTATTATCATTGGAGTTTGATAAAGGGTTATATAATTTTAATTTGAAATTTGCTGTAGTTCTCTCCCTTTATATTGAGGTCCCGGAAAACTGTGATTATAGCTCTTAAATTCCATTTCATTATTAAGCAGTATTTTTATATAAACCCCTCCAAGGTATATGTTTTCAAATGATTACTGGGGTACAGGGTATTTAAAAAAAAATGCCCCTACCATCTTCATTTCCCAACTGTAGTGTATCATATTAGAGATATGGAAGACTATTTTGTTGTAACAGTAAAATATTTTCCTAAGTACAGTACAGTAAACTCAAATTAAAGGCAGGTGTAGAGGGGGAAGACAGAGGAACCTACAAAAATGTGCTGAGTGGCCATTATTCTGATGTGAAAGTGGATCACTTAGGAATGACTGCCCATTAGGGACAATGTATATACAGGACACTGTACAGTACAGTATGTACAGTATAGTAAGCTTTCAGTACTGAAGGAGACAGCATGGCTGGCACTGCACTTGGCTGCCTTCACTTCCCCAGCTTGTAAAGTTAGGTATCCATTTACTACTGAGTGGACTGGGATTGAACCAGTGATCCAAGGGACAGGAGGCTCTTGCTGTATCCAGTATGCTGCTGCACCTCATTCTGATGTAAGGATATGGGAAGGAGGAAGATGGAGAATGGAAAAATGCTTAAAGAAATACTGTACGGTACTGGGATGAACAGGAATACGGATGCTGGGAGAAAAAAGTGAGAGGGATAGTCGAGTTTACCCCATGGGTGGTTGTGTAGGTCCTGTGACCATGTGAGGAGATTTCTTGGGGTCACTTTGATATTGGGAGGTGTTGCATCTGCTGCAGAGTTGGGTGTATGTGTGAGATTTGTTAATTTTTTTATTTAAATTTTTAAGGTCTTCTTCTCTGTGTTAATCCAAATTATTGTTATTATACTCTATATATATAGCATACAATGTATTTTATGGGATGTAGTGTATTTTACAGAATGCAAAAAAAAAAATCTGCCAGGTAATTAAATATTAACAAAAGAACACACACTGTATATTCCCTCTGCAGATGCTTCATGGAATATCAACGGCCAGTGCAGTGAAGCAACTCAAGCGAGAAGGTTTAAAGAATTTGTATCGAGGAATTCTCCCACCTCTGTGTCAGAAGACCATCTCAACATCTATCATGTTTGGGATGTTCGACCAGTATGGAAAGCTGTTGAAATATTACCAACCTCAGTTGTCAGATGGTATACAGTATACTGTATTCATATTTTCAATGTTAATTTTGTACTATGAAGTAAAACTTCTCTAAGGGGCAACAGTTGGTATATGAAGTATTACAGCTATGTGAGATTTTATGGTCATATGAATTTTTTCTGAGTGACTATTTTTGTCCCAAATACTGATTTTTAACTCTAAAAATTTGAATTGATTATTGTAACATATTTTCAAGGCTGATTTGAAGCTCATTGACCTTTAATCATAGATTTCAAACATGATTTATTAATTTTTTGTAATTGTTTGTAAAGATATAAAAATATTTCATAGTACAGTACTGTATTCACCAGAAATTGTAAATCTACTAATAGTTGTGGGTGAATCAGACTGTAGTATTTACTGTATGGCATGACACATGAGCTGCCTTTCCATAGCTTGTTAGAAACTATGTAGGTTTCTGGCCTCTACAACCAAAAGACTATGTGTTGGCATAATGAATTTGTGCACTCATTACTGCAGCACTATCGCAGTACAGGGTATAGTTACGCACTAGTATTATCACAGAAGATTTAAAGCACAGTGGGCATAGTAGGTAACTGCTGCACAATCCTTTGTTGAAACTCCAGCAAAGTACAGTATACAGTAGTTAACAATTATGTAAATACAGTTATAATTGTGCTGAAGATCACATCATTTGGGTCAATTTGATAGAACTGTACATTTCTATCAAATTTCCCCGAATGATAATGATATGTTCTTCAGCACGATTATAACAAGGGCTCAGAGCACTCGTTGTTTTGATACAAGCTGCGAGAAACAAAATGTGGTGAAGAGGGGCATAGGTGGGGACGTGATTCATGATGAACCACAGTCAAGCTGCAAAACCTCGCATAGTTATAACACCTGTTTTGTTCTTTTCTCTGAACTGCTGTCAAAAAATTATATACCTTATAAAAATTTCACCCAAGAGAGATTGGCTAAAAGAAAGTTTATGTACTATTTTTTTCCTCGTGTGTGTGCAATAGAGAGAGGTAGTATTCTATTACTCCAAGGTTCCTCAGCTGTAACAGTATTAGAGGAAAGCTCTGTTTTCATGTCCCTTTTTTTTGTGTGTGTATCAGTGGAGAATCCTCTGAGCATGCTTACTGCTCAGTGCTTTTTGTTTGTTTATTCATCTTAAATACAGTATAGTCTTCATTTACTCGGTCAATTGAGCCTGTGGAGGTCCGCGTAAAACGAGAAACGCGTAAACGAAATAACAGAACATATTGGATTAATTGAAATAGAGACTGGGCTGACCCCCACACTACACTTCTTCTGACACAATACCTACGTTGTAGTAAAAATAACATCTTAATTTTATGATGGTATGCACACACAATTAATATTTACGAGAAATACAGTCGCCGGTTAATGTCCATTCAAATAACGGACTCGACTCTTCCCTTCCGCCCCCCCCCTCTCTTCCCACGCTCGCTGGCTCTCCTCCCTCCCTGAGAAATGTTTGGGTGAAAACACTAGGCTTTTAGGTTTAGTAATAAATAATACCTCAGACTATAGTTAGGATAATATAATTGACATTGTTGGATTCCTTGCAAGACTGAGAATAATTTGAATATAAACGTCATATATTTTGCACAGAAGATAAAATTTTTGCTCTCTCTAATAAAATTCTTAAATTAGATCTAAAATTTGTATGTCTAATGCAAATTTTAGCTCGTTTATATTCAAATTAATCACTATCTTATAAGAATTCCAGCAATGTAAATTATATTCTGGCTGGGTAATTTCTATGAATTTTATGAGCTAAAAACAAATATCTTCAATAAATGAAGAAATTATACTTCACCCAGACACAATACGTTACGAAACGTTGTAGTAAAAATAACATCTTAATTTTATGATGGTATGCACACACAATTAATATTTAAGAGAAATCAATAATATTAGGTTTTTTAACACTTACTTAGTAGAAGAGATGGCTGGGTACACAGGGTTTGGGGTTGGTTCTGAGGCAGAGGGCAGATTATAGGCCCTCACCTGTATCACTTGTATCACATGTATCACTATCCACCACAGAGGCTTGCAGGGCCCCTTTGTCAAACCCCTCAGAGTCCATATTCTCACTATCACTGACTTGGGCTGGCTGTGGTGGGTGAAGATCTCAATAATGTTTTTTTGACTGGGCGACCTTGTGCGCGCACCCTGCCTGCCTCGCTTCCCGTGTAAATGATGGAATGAACCGCGTAAATAAAAATTGTCGGTCTGGCAAGGTGCCGCGTAAACCAAATCCGCATAAATTGAGACTATACTGTAATAAATTTACATTTATACTCTAAAATCCAGCCCAGCGCTTAGTAACAGCACTGTGTAAGGGAGCGAGGCCGGGGCTAGCTCCTCTCCCAAGCGCATCTGTAGGTGCTGTTTCACCTCGATGAAAGCCTGCGTGCGCAGCTCGCTGACGTCACAGTCATACCATGGTAAAATGGCAGATATGATGCGCCAGGCCGTGGAGCATCAGTGTCGCTCCACCCACGAGTCCGTGTGGGTCGTGCGTGTTGTTTACGTTCTGCCGCTCGTGTGTGTTGTGGTGCTTCTGCTACCTGAGTGTTATAGACTTATAGTGTTATAAATATTCTACTTGCGATGGAAACTGTGGTAGAAGAGGACACATGTTTAGTTAAGGAACTGCTGGAAAAGCCGTTTTCGAGAAGAAACATTTCAGAGAAAATTGAAATCGTAGGAAAACGTAGACCATGTCCACGAATTCCAGGACTTACAAAGAAGCATACAGATAAAAACAAAGAATATGTTAGGCATTTTAATATCACGTAGTACGAAAGCACGCATTGGTTGACTGGCTCAAATAAGTTAAACAAACTCTTCTGCTGGCTGTGTTTGCTCTTTTCAACTGATCACCGTGTATGGTCAAAAACTGGTTTTGATAATTTGAATACTTTGTCATTGGCTATTTCTAGGCATGAGAAATCTTTTAATCGCATAAACTGTTTTCTGCAACTTAATAGTTTCGGAAGAATGAGAAATGATCATCAGCTTGATGAACAACAACTCGTCAGTGACAATGGCATGCAAAGTCCCAATTGAAAGCTTTTTTTATCATATTATCTCAAAATAGTATTTAATGTTAAACCACCTAGGTACAGCAACCCCTCCCCTCCCTGCTCTAAGAAATAGAGAGCATGCTTAAGATCTTAGGTCAGGATTCGCCACTGGTGTGTATCCAGTAAATTTAGATATGGAGTCTAATATTCTTGACAGTACAAGTTAAAAAATAGTGAAGTGGTGGTTCTCAAGAACTTAAAGTGAAAATTTACATGCTCTACTACCGTATTCTCCTCATTAGCTGGAATTCCCAGTCCCCGGAACTCTCCAATAGCCGGAATGAAAATCGGCTTGGAATTAAAAAAAAAAGAAATTATCTCTCCAATTCCTGGTCTGAACAAATCATTTACGATATCCGAGAAATAGCGTCATGCTCTGCCTCATCACTAGGGCCCGGATAGTTATGCACTAAAAAACCATGAAATATGCATGCAAATATGCACTAAAAACAGGGGAAATATGCATTTATATGCATATTTATATGTCACTTATAAAGCCAAGAATGCAGGTTATACGGAAACAAAATAGTTAATATAAACTAATGATAATGTTTATTAAGCAATATACGTAATGTATTTAACATATATATGTGAAAGTGCTTCAAAAAATATATATGAACATGTATTTACATTATAGACTGACATATTTTCAGACATTACAGATTGTGGTTGCATTTGATGATGACATGGTGGCGTAAGTTCTCAAAGTTAAAACCCCGCCTGTTGTCTGTCAGCATAGCTTTATATTCTGAGAACACCCTTTCTACATCACACGAGACGATTGGTGCATGTTTCATACATAGGAGGTCTGACATAGTGAGTGGCTGTACCGTCTCGTCAATAATAGCATCACCAGACATTATCTGACTGACTTTTTTCAGCTTTTCAAATCCCTTGTTTTTGTACAACACGTAATGTTGATTCGTCAGGCACTTTTTTTCCAGTATACTGTTCCAGGAATGACTTTAGGCACTTGTTATTCAGTTTATGCAATGGAATATCCGCTGAAACAAATGCCTTGCACAAATCTGCGTTGAACTGGGAACGATCAGGCCCTGACTTACTGGAACATGCAAGAAGTAGTTGTTGCTCCTTTTGTGCACTATTGTTGTTGGACTTGAAATTTCTTGCTCGCTGTCACTGGTGCTTCACAATATTTACAAAACAGTACACTTCCATCAGTAGTAAATGCATCAAATTCCTTTACATATGATCTCAGCACTTCATTTTGGTTTCTTTGTACTTTCGGCATTTTCACGAGCAGCAGAAGAGAGTAGCTCCACACAGCAGCACTGCTCCTGACTGACTAACTCACTAGTCCAATGAGTCATGACCAGGTGTGGAAACGACAGATTAAAGCGACGTGACCTCACCTCACTTCACCTAACCACACCTCACCTCACCTCCCAGTACCACGTGTGCTCATTCAGTGGCACCAAAGAGATACTGCCAGATGAATATTTTACCAAAATATGCATTTATATGCAGTTATCTAGGTAATATGCACTTATCATAGAAATCACGCAAAATATGCATTTGCATATGAAATATGCAAATGCATAACTATCCGGGCCCTACTCATCACCATGTACCAGTTGCGTGGGTGGAAAAACTGCTTGGGTAACTTGGGTTGTAGGCTCATGCGCTGTGATTGACTAATACTGTACTGTCATATGACTGCATGGGATGCCTTTGATAGGCTAATGTATCTCTCAGCTTATCCCCTCTTATCCTAGCATCATAACACACTTAGTTCATAGTCCCCTGCCATGCACAAGGTTGATCCCTCACTTGCTGCTGATTCTGCAATAATGTACATTACCTGAATACAATCAGCCCAGAATACAGTGTTAAAGCAACGTTAGGACATAAAAAGTGATTACAGTTACATCTACTGTACTGTACATTCAGTAAGTGCGAAAGTACCTTATGTACAGGAAAAGGGAAACACTGGAGCATTTAGCTTTCGTATTTATTCAGACATCATTCTTTAGGTCATGAGACAATTTAATCCTCCACCCCAACAATGGGTGACCTGACATTGCATCAGTTCAGGACCTAGATTCACTAATATGACCGTAATGGGAGAATGTCTGTCCGTGCATGATGAGATGCATAGTTTGGAGTCGAGATGAGTTGCGTAGTTTAGACTCTCTCGGAAGCTTTTGCCAGTTCCCAGAAAAATTCCAGGGATGTGGAATTTTTTCTGGGCTTGAGGGAGTCGTCTTGTTACACCGAAATCTCTCATCCCTGGAAGAGCTCTGCACCAAGTATTATGGCTAACAGGGATATTACTTTATACAGTGTTTGTCAAAAGTAGTGTACTGTACTGTAATATACTCTCCAGATGTTTACTTGACATGGATGCTGAGCTTAGTTTACCATTTGCAGTTTAATGTGTTACCAAGCTGACCTGGTGACAACCTGGGTTATGGGGCTGTTTCTGTTTCCTGCTTCATGAGCCAGCACAGCACATAGGTATTAGATAGTCACATAGGAATTAAAACAATACCTTATATACCTGAATCATTTAATAAATAATTATTTTAATTACAGTAGGATGGTAAGGTTATACATTTTTTCTTATAGGAGCAACTTTAGCTCTGGCTGCCACATTAGCTGGATGCACTGAAGCTATCCTCTGTCCATTTGAACGTATCCAAACCTTGCTGCAAGATAAGAAATTCCATGGCAAGTACAAGTAAGTGATTAATGTTACAACACTGCCTTACCAGTCAAGGGGGTGTTTGGAAGTCCTGCATATAATGCCCATTTCCTAATCTGTAAAAGTGGTTTACTGATAGCAAGGGCATCCAGCCATAAAATTTACTTCAAATTTGTCTGATGGCTGCTGGGAGATGATGAGAATAAAGATGATGTTGATTGATCATAGAGGAGAAGATGAATTTCAGAGAATGTAATTTGGGTGATATGCATGATGTAGCTGTAAAGGATGCTGAAAGATGAGGTGGAGGAGTAGAAAAAAAGAGGGATAACATTTCAAAAGAAACCTTAAGTATGGATGAATGTCTAATACTGTATATGCAGTAACTATGGTTCTTGTACATTTTATTTTATCTCATCGTTTGTGGATAAACTTTAAATTTCAATAAAAACTTGCTTAACATTATTACAGAAACAGCATACACACAACACGTGAGATGTGGAAATTTGGTGTAAAAGAGTACTATCGTGGCATGGTCTCCATCCTTCTGCGTAATGGACCAAGCAACATTCTCTTCTTTGGTCTGAGGACAGAGGTCAAGACCAGACTACCTGATCCTGGCAGATCCTGGTGGGGTCATATCCTGAGTGACTTTGTTTCTGGGGCCTTCCTAGGGGCATTCATCTCCACAGTCATGTACCCTATTAATGTTATCAAGGCTCACCAACAGACTCAGGTGAGTCTTCAGTAATAAATCTAAATTTTTTTTAGAATTTTATGTCTTAATCAAGGGTTGTAAAATGATTTGTGACAGCCAGCGATGACTCTTGGTAATATGGTTTTACATTTAAAAATTTACCAGGGTAGTGATGAACCAGTGCATTTTGGGGAGGGAAGTATTATGAATGACAATCAAAATAATGCTCTGAAACAAGTCTCAAGTAAATCAGTTTAATTTAGTCCAGGTTTATTTAATAATCACTTGATAGAAGCTGAGAATGCACAACAATAATTTGATCTACAGTATCAGTAATTACTTTTTCTAGAATACTACTGTACTACTCTCTTCTTTATCATATGACAGTTAGTGCACACACCCCATTTGATATACAGTACCAGGGAACTTAAGACATGTGCTGGGGGCTATCCAAGTACACTTTAAATCCCTCTGATCGTTTATAGCTTTGTTCTTCATATTTAGTTGAGAATGCATACCAACCTCCTTGTAGGAGGAAGGTGTAAGGCATATGTCATAGCTGGAATAGTCCCTGTGAATAACAAAAACAAAAAACATACTGTAGTTTCAGAAGCATAATTAAGATTTTGAAGTGCTATTTTTTGAGAGAAAATATTAAACAGTGCCTGAATAACTAGTTCTTACTTTTAGCTGCTAACTGTAGATTTGTATAAGGAGCTAACTGTAGATTTGTATAAGTTGACAAAACTGATAGGCAAGTTTGTGTTAATGTTAGACTAGGCAGTTACCAGGTATTACTGTATTTTGAAAACTGAGTTAAAATAAAAGAAAAAATGAGAAGGAGATGTAGTTGTTGAGGAAGTACAGTACTGCTCATGAAAAGCTAGGACGGTGATGGAGATGAAACCGTGAAGAACTGATCCGGATAATTTTTTGAATACAGTATTTTAGTATCCAGTCAAAATTTTAATGACTTAACAGATCACCTCTGAATCCTATCAGACTTTAATCACTAATACCCGGTAAGTCATATTGTATCAGTATCTTATCAAAATTTAGTTATCACTTTAAATTAATTTACAGAAGTGTTAAATCAAGTTGAAATAGAAATATACATCCCTAATTGAGCAGATATTCATGGTGATATGATTAAAAGTTAAACCATTAATTTTGACAAAGACCTAAACTATACAAGGTTATTCAGAAAAATCTTAACACACGATGAGTTGTATTTTGTATTTCCAATTTACCTTTTACTATTTATTGTGATGCTAACAGTGTTTCATACAGGGACAACTGCAACCTTTCTTCTTTCTTCAAAACTCAACATAGTCACCATCTCACTATTCTTAGATCTTCAAATACCTATTACAGAGTAAAAAACAAATACAGTCAACCCTCACTTTACGCGGTCCCACATTCCGCGTTTCCACGTTTACGCGGTGCCCTGCCAGAACCCAGGATGCTCACATTCCGCGGTGGGTGTACCCCTTTACGCGGGTGAAGTATAATTTTTTTATTTAGCTCATAAAATTCATACAAATTATCCGGCCAGAATATAATTTACATTGGTGGAATTCTTACAATTTAATGATCATTTTGAATATAAACATCATAGATTTTGCATTAGACATACAAATTTTAGATATAATGTTTACTCTGAGTAAATATGTTATCTTTTGTGCAAAATATATGACATTTATATTCAAAATATTCCTGGTCTTACAAGGAATCCAGCAATGTCAATTATATTATCCTAACTTTAGTCTGATTTATTATTTATTACTAAAAAGGTAAACAGTCTGGTATTCCCACACATTCATCTGGTAGGGAGGGTTGGTTGGGGGTGGGAGGGAGGGAGGGACCGGCCACCGACCACCTGGCACTTGGTCACGGTGTGAAGAATATTTTTTTTTTATTAACTGAAGATGTTTGTTTTAGCTCATAAAATTCATACAAATTACCCGGCCAGAATATAATTTACATTGTTGGAATTCTTACAATTTGATGATCATTTTGAATATAAACATCATATATTTTGCATTAGACATACAAATTTTAGATATAATGTTTACTCTGAGTAAATATGTTATCTTTTGTGCAAAATATATGACATTTATATTCAAAATATTCTTGGTTTTACAAGGAATCCAGCAATGCCAATTATATTATCCTAACTTTAATCTGAGGTATTATTTAATACTAAATGTTAAAATCTAGTTTTTTCACCCAACCTTTCTCTTGAAGGAAGGGGGGGTGGGGGGAGGGTTGGGACGGACTGACCATCTGGCGCTTGGAAGAGGGGGGGAGTTAAGGTGGGGTACTTTGATTGACAGATAGTGTAGTGAAGAATATTTTTTTTTTTATTAACTGAAGATATTTGTTTTAGCTCATAAAATTCATACAAATTACCCGGCCAGAATATAATTTACATTGCTGGAATTCTTACAATTTGATGATCATTTTGAATATAAACATCATGGATTTTGCATTAGACATACAAATTTTAGATCTAATGTAATAATTGGTTTACACAAAGCAAGTATTTTATCTTTTGTTCAAAATATATGAAGTTTACATTCAAAATATTCCCTGACCTGTAAGGAATCCAGAAATGTCAATTATATTATCCTAACTTTAGTCTGAGGTATTATTTATTACTAAACGTTAAAATCTAGTGTTTTCACCCAAACATTTCTCAGAGAGGTAGGAGCTAGTGAGCTGGGAAGAGGTGGGGGGGGGGTTGAGTCCATTATTTGAATGAACATTAACCTGGCGACTGTGTTTCTTTTAAATATTAATTGTGTGAGCATACCATCATAAAATTAAGATGTTATTTTTACTACAACATAGTTATTGTGTCGGAAAAAGTGGAGTTTGGGGGTTGGGCCAGTCTCTATTGGAATTAATCCCATATGTTCTGTTGTTCACTTTACGCGGTTTTCACTTTACGCCGTACCCTGTGGGTCAATTGACCGTGTAAATCGGGGTACTACTGTTATAATAATAATAGCTGGTCTTTTGTTTCTCTAAAGCACCAGTTCTAAAGAATTTTCTAGTGCCAGAATTACTACAAAGACAAAGATGTAAGAATAAAAAGAAATACAGTACAGTAAACCCTCAAAGATCCGGACCCAGTAAATCCGGATTTGGAAGATTTGGACAAAAAAAATTAGGGGTACTGGGCTAAGAAGCCTCCCTAAGAAGCATTCCCAAAACAGGGTGAAGGAAGTTTTAGGCTCAAAGTTTTTATCTTATAAAATGTCACAGACTAAACTTAGCAGAATATAACTTGCATTGTTGGGATCCTTGGAAGATAGTTAATAATTTGAACATAGACATCACATAGTTTGCACAAGAGATAAAAGTTATAGTCCTTTAGTGTAATACAGTAAGCCCAGGTAATTCACAGATTTTTATTTTGTGGTTCTCTATTATTCGTGGATGACACCCTGGATGTACCGAAGAATGTCTGTGGGTAGTTTTAAACTTGCCGGCATTTTCGCGGTTGGGACAAGGAGCCATTCATTCTAGAGACAGTAATTTTCTTTACCTGTATTGGATATATATATATATATATATATGTGTGTGTGTGTGTGTGTGTAAACACACACACACACACACAACACATACAACTAAATAATAATGGGAAAATCCTCTCACAAATAATCAGATTTTTTTTTTTTTTTTATATTGTGAGTGTACCCTCAAGTCTACTCCGTGCTTTATTAATAACAGAGCACGGCTTAAAGTTTTTATCTTATAAAATGTCACAGATTAAACTTAGCAGAATATTACTTACATTGCTGGAATCCTTGCATGATAGTAAATAATTTGGGTATAAACACCACATAGTTTGCACAAGAAAATTTTTTTTTGTCCTTTAGTGTCGTACATTTGAGTACAAAGTGAGGAATGTACTGTAATATGTTGTTCAAAATTATGGCTTTTTCATAGGAAAAAGTCTGTATACCTAACCCCAGTGGTCAGGATAATATGTACTGTATTTTTGGTGTTTTTAATATAATTATTTATAGTTCTTATACATTTAGTACACTCGCCGAAAGATTCTCCCAATCGGACGGGTGGTCCCCCCTTTTAGTCCGGATCATCGAGGGTTCACTGTACAGAGATATCTCCATTAGCCGGAAGAATTGGTGCAGAGCACTTCCAGGAATGAAAGATCTGCAGCTAACGCTATGACTCTCAAAGCCAGAAAAAAAATCTTTCATCTCCGGAATTTTCCAGGTAATGGAAAAATGTTCTCGGAAGTTCCAGAAATTGCCCATTGCATTATCTCTCGAACCCGAAAAAATATCCCTCATCCCCAGAACTTTCCAGGTAACGGAAAAACGTTCTCAGAAGTTCCAGAAATTGCCCATTACATCATTTCTCGAACCCGGAAAAGAATCCCTCGTCCCCAGAATTTTCTGGGTAAAGGAAAAATTTTCTCGGAATTTCCAGAAAATGTGCCTGATTTTCCGAAAAATATGCTCCTCAGAAAATCGTTTCCAAAGCCAGAATTTTCCGGAAAATTCTGGCTTTGGGAAAAAATTTCCGAGAAAATTTCAATTTTGGCTATCGGAGAGTTCCGAGTTTGGGGGATTCCGGCTAACGTAGATATTACTGTACAGTGGTCCCGTGGTTAACGAACACAATTCATTCCAGAAGGTCGTTCGTTAACTGAATCCATTGTTTCAATGGGATATTGGGTAATTGGTTCCAGCTCACCGAAAAGTACATACAAAGTAAAAAAAAATGCAGTAAAGTACACTTACTTTGAGGTGTGTATGTAGAAGGTTCCTGGTTGATGATGATGGGAATTAGAAGTGGGAGTGGAGGAGAAGGGAAAAGAGAAGGATGTTGGGATGGAGGAGAAATCACCTTTCAGGGGACCCATGCTTGATGCGTCATTTCACCAATAAAATTTTAAGTTCACTAGGTGTAATTCAAGATTATTTTATTTAAATCAACACTGCACTGCGCTATATATTATCAAATGTTAACTAAATTTCAGAATGACCAATAATTTCAATGTA